CTAGTATAACAAACAACAGAATTGTTAACGTTATCTTTTTTATCAGCTATATGCTTGGTTGCGTTCGTAAGATCATTACCTTGAGCCATTTGCATAAGCAGATCGTCTCTGGTTTGTGATATCCGTTGTGCATGCAACTTTTCAACGTCTTTCCTATGAGGTACCGGTTACTGTATCATAGAGGTAGATAATCCCCTTCGAAAACAGATCTGCTTCTATCTTGTTCCTCGGTGTTGCATATTGGCTTTCTGGTCGGCCTCTGTCTGGTATCGGCTCCTATGTGATAAGCTCATGAGATGCTTTAAATGATTTCTGTTCAGCGAGTTTCTCGAACGGATTGGGGCCAACCGTCCTATTTGTGATCTCCATCAGCTGGATAACATGGAGTGGAATCATTTCTTACCGGGTTCCGCAACTTAAGCTTCATGATGCGTCAAAGCCAACGCTGCTGTACGCAGTTCAACCTTCATTACTGTACCTTCGTTAGAACAACAGAGACATGCTACAGACGGATTTTAGTAGGAAGAGTGACTCGTTTCTCATTTAAAATATTTGACAGGTTTCTAAACGCACTCGGTGATAAGACGATTAACCTTTTTAACTCTGGCTAGATAGCACCATCGCTGGAGATGATGAACTGAGGTACTTAAATTCGTCAGCCTCCTAAGGCGTTCCCCCTGCCGTAGGTCGTAAGGGTCGAATATACGTAATATACCGTAAAAAAGGTCGCTTAAACCACAAAATTCCAGCAACAGAAACAAGACTAGCTCACAAGAACAGTCACTAGTTTCCCTCCATTTCAGCTTCAACGAATAATATGCCGTGGCTGTCGTACGACGTCTCCTAACGGTCGTGTCCAAATTGCAATTCATCGTCAGCTCGCATCATCGTGTTCATTAAGTGAAATGAAAGCTGGCTTCTCTAAAACGATATTCTTTACTTTACAGCGATACAGTAAGACCCACCTGTGGTCGCCTATGGCGGGGACCCCCTAACCACATAGGAGTTTACGACGTATTTAGGCATCGGTCACGCATCACTGAATTGTTACACGCCAATCTGTCCGTAACCGTGCCACGAGCAAAAACGGATGCTCTCACTACGTAATGCCATGCATTGTTTACTTGGTCAACACCAGATGGCAGGTGTATAAACGAAAGGCAAAATTTTTTATATTTTTTGTTTTTTTCTTCATAAGTTATGTAAACAGGTTTCATTGTATTTTGCACGAGTTTTCAATACTGGTAGCGTTAGAGTATTACAGTTATATTGGCAGTACTACAGTTTTCGGTAATAATGTTACATAACAGTAACGAATGCAAATTGAAAGCGCGTCTGAAGCCACCTCTGGAAGCGTTCGGTAGACAGAGCGAATCTTATTCGTCATTTATACAACGCTCTCTACAGTATCATTTCAGGCAGCCGCAGACGCGGTCAATAAAATGCACATCTTGCAGGAAGACAAACTACTACGTCCTCATGAAGCCTTTAACAAGTTAGTCTTTTGCAGCATATCATCAAAACTCCTCGCCTTATTCGGATGCCCTAGCCGGCATTTTGGATTTTTTCTGTCGTCGATTAATGTGGGAGTGAGCCCTGTCAGCTGAACACCCGAGGCGGCCCGTCCGCCCCTGTCCGACAGTTTCGTTCGTGTAGAATAACCTGAGATCTTTCCGCGCTTTTACACTCGCTTACATCTCGACTTCCTCATGTTTGCGCCTTTCGCGGTAGTCTTATGCTTGAGGCTCGCTACCGATCACTGCTTGTCGTATTACCTCAGTTGCTTCCCTAACGATAATGTATATATTACTTTGATCTGTGTTTTAAGCACGTGTAGGGCTTAAACTTGCGATATCCACGAGACGACGCGGTGAGCAACGTTGTAATTTTAGGAATCCTTAATTGCTTCTGCGAAAAGGGTTATAGAAAATTACAGTACAGGTTTGTCCTTACATATTCCGTCATGTGGGTTCCATGCGAAGGAAAATGGATCCTGAAAGAGCATAATACCGATGTCTGAACAGTTACCGAGTTTTCATATTTTCATCGTGAACTAATCAGTTTTAAATACAACGGACAGAACCACGTGCTTAACTGTGGGTGTGGTCTTCTCATGTAGCATCGCGCGATGGGGTGCTGCTCACCACCAAATCACGACGATTGATGACGACCGCAACACGTCGTCCATTCCTCGCGGTTTAGAGCCTCATACTTAGAAGGGTGGCCTTTCCGCCCTGATATCATCGTCCAACCGCCATGGCATATTCCGCTCGTCGTCAGGTTACCAATCGACGGTCAAATCCGACCATCTTGAGTCGAGCTACATGTTCGATCGCCGTAGCTTCTTTTGCCTCCTGCTGTCGACAACGACGTCCTTTACTCCCATCACACGCTCTCTGCTCACCGTGTTGAGGATGTGACCTCATGTGAAATTCTCAGCATTCTACTTTTCATGACTTTCTCGGTGACAAACAAACTTTTGTTAGTGATGACGACTCACAGCCAACAACAGTGCTGGTAGGACCGTAGAATTGGACAGGTA